GGCGATTAATTAGAGGCTAAAGCCTCAGAGTAAGTGTCATGGTCATGCCTTTGCTAAATGGACCACATCTATTATAAAACCTACTGTCAGCCAACTAGTTCCAATCGCCGCCTCGTCTATCCTGTTTTTATTCCTAATACCAAGTCTTCCTACCAATATGACCGAATTGCGAATACAAGGTCAAACAACTTCTAAATATTGATTGTTATAGGCTTCTTATTATCATATTCCTAGATATTCTAGTATAAATTTATGGTGAGACTGGAAATTTATTATTGTTCGTGCATATAATATCTTTTTGGGCAACTTTCTCTTTTTCGGAGGCAAATGATTTTTAGATTAAAGTAGGGTTACTATCTTTTGGTCTTTATTTCCTGTCTAAATAGGACTTTTTAGTTAATGTGCTCAAAAAGTTTTTTTTACTATTTAGCCTGTTTGTTTGACTTTCATATAAGCATATTCTAATCTACGACATTAGATTCGACTTATCTTGTCTTCTGTTATCCTATCTCAGAAAGTATAACCTATGTTCCTTATAAGCATTTTATGTTTAGTTATCCTTTGAAGTTCATGATTGCATGTAACTTTAACCCGAGGCCGATCACAGGCCGATCGACTTTTAAACAGACTAATTTTGATAATCAGTGAGCCCTACTCTCAAAATCTGACCACTAGCAAAAGCATGTGAGTTTAATATTTAATTTATTAAACGCCTTATTACAAGTTTCATAATTCCCTTCTCTATGACTAACGGGAGCTTATCTGAATGTCATCGAAATCAAGGGATATCCTTCTGTGTGGGCCGCATCATGCCCAGAAATTTCCGCCGTCCAGTAAAATGAGCCGTCTGACTTATTCATCTTACATATTTACATTTTTTAAAATCGGCTAATAACTATATGAAACTGTCGAGTATTCATTCATCAGAAGCCTGTAAACCGAATTTTCATGATTTTTTAGAAACGTTTTTTCGTGATTTTAGTTTATCATTAGGTCCTCACGTCTTTTAAAACTTGCAATTTCAATGAAATTGTTTATTTTTTTACGATATACAGACAGTCGATCTTTCTCCTCCATTCTATATACTTTAAGTAATGCTATCCTGTTACCACCATTGAACATGATTCGAATTAATAGTACTTCGAAGGTTTAATTTTTTTCCTAATCGGACACCACATTATTATATCTATTCCACTCGATTCCTTTTTGTTCTATGCTTATTTATTTTTTATAATTCGAGGAATTGCAGATGTTTGGATTTAATCAAGTCGATGAGAACGTTGGGTATCTGAATGTGGTTCATGGGATTCCTCAGGATTCCAGCCACTACCTCGCCTCATCGCCTTCCCCTATCCATAATGCTGCTGCAACCGCAATTGCCTTAGCCGCTGGTCTTCCTCCAGATCGGGCTGCTATCATGGCCTACGCCGCTCAAGCTCTTGGCACAGACACAGTATTTGCAGGTTTAGCAGCCAAAAAGAAGCGCCAACAACAACTCCAACAACTAGAGCAACAAAAACTTGACGAGGGAATTTCAAATTTACCTTCATCTATTGCTAATATCTCTCCTCTTACCTCTGTGGCAACCTCCACCTTGGATTCTGTCGCTATTGAGGATTTTGGAATATCCACTCATACATCCCATAGTCCAGGCAAGACCGACTCCTCTTCCATAGTTGCAAGTGACGTCAAGAATGATCGTGATTCCGTTACTCATATAATCAAAGCAAGTACTCATTTTATTTATTCAATATTTAAGAACATAAAAATGTAATATTATACTAATCAGGTCGTATTTGATTTTTTTTATTAATTGACATCCGGTTATTTCCATATTGCTGCTAATGTTATTGGTCTTTGTACACCCCGTTTATCTAATTTTATTATTTTGGGATTCATTTTTCAATCCAGGAAATAGTTATATTGCATGAAAACACTATTTATGACTCTGAATGTTTCATATAAAATGTCAAGCCTCGAGACTAGTTAATAAACATCGATTTTGAAATCACTATATCGAATTGTAAATTATTTACTTGAAAATTTACATTAACCTATGAGACAGATCGGAGTCAAATTAAAGGAACTTTTCGAAAACAACCCTGTAAGCTACAACCAGCCCTTCGATTCTTTGATACTTATGAATGTATATTCAGATATCGGAAGTCACAGGTTGAAGATCAATTTTGCCTTCATATAGATTCTTTTTAATACCTCGTCACCATGGTGCCAGGCGACTCCGGTTTTCTTAACTTTCTGGCTAGAACAAGAACTTATGGAAAGTTCCGGGTTTTGCGACCTCTATCATTTTTACAATAATAATAATAAAAGAAGGTGTTTGACTTTGTTTTCGCAACTTGGTCATTTTGGTAGTATGATCCGTCTGCTATATCCCTGGTTCTTGTATTTTACTCGACCCCTGCCACTCCATCTGTGCTACTCAAGAAGTTATTACCCCTTCCCTGCCTCTGGGTTACTAATTCGAGGCTAAAGCCTTCGAGTAAGTCTCATCGTCAAGCCTTTGCAACATTGATCACGTGTATGGTAAAAACATGCCTATTGTCAGCCAATTATCTTCAGTCTACGGCGCGTCTATTCTGTTTCTATCCCTAATACCAAGTCTATGACATGCTGTGCCCTAGTCTCTTTTGTGCCAGCCCACAAACGTTGTGGTACTTCTTGCTTCGATTATATTCAATGTTTAACTACGTTTGTGCGTTGGCACACAAGAGGCTTGGTCATGGACTTGGTATTAGGGATTGAAATATGATAGACCCGGAGGAGACTAGAGCTAATTGGCCGACAGTATGCCTGTTTTTACCATAGACGTGTTCCATGTAGCAATGGCTTGACGATGAGACTTACTTAGAGGCCTTACCTCGAATTAGTCACCCAGACACAGGGGAGGGGTAATAACGCCTCAAGTAGCACAGATGGGGTGACACGGGTCGAATGAAATACGTGAACCAGGGATATGGCAGATGGATTCTACGGGGCAGGAGGAAGACTGATAAGACCTATGGAAGGAGGATTGCGTAACAATATGGCAGACTGATCAACATTACCAGCACAAGTCTGAAGGGGGTGAGAATGACAGCATAGAGTGTGGAGAGTTTTCATGAATTTCGCTCAAAGGAGCAAACCAAACTACATCTTAATAGGCACGGTAAAAATGGTAACATTGAAGGCGTGATACGAGTATATAGTAAATGTGAATAGTCCATGGCAGAGGGGGAGATACCACAACAGTTTATTACACGTTTGGTCAAAGGATCGACTTCTCTGACCAGTTGTAGTGTGGTGCTATGAATGGCAAGACTCACTGACGATGTCCATTATGATGCCGGCGAAACGTCTGGGAATGTACTACGTCGAAGATCCTACTGGAAATTATTATGCATACAGTGGACTCTGGGCTAGGTGCGTTCCTCTAAGTCTTCATACCAATATAACCAAGCTGCGAAAAAAAGGTCAAACAGCTTCTATACTGCGACCACACAAAATGCCACACCACCTTGGTCTTCATATCTTCAAATAATAATAATAATTTTAATCATCGGACCATTAACTCGGTAGAATTAAAGATGTTTTCTCAACTTGTTTGAATCGTCAGGGAGACCTTGTGGAACGTACCAATTCCAGTCTCCCTTGCCATAATACTCATGATTTCCAATATCGTAACATTGACTTGGAACATTCCCTGTCGTTTCACCGGCATCATCAATAAGGGCCGACATCATTAACACAGATTTACGATTTTGATCAATCGTCGGAATCCTTTCTAGTTAGTACAAATAAAACATGTTTTATGTCTCAAGTGCATCTACCATTTACATTAATACAAAGTGGTGTACCTTTTGAGCAGACCATACGCGTTTATGAGTCTCGCACATAGCTGGAGAAGCACGTTCCTTTGCTATTCAGTTTTACTCAATTTGTACATTTTTGTGGATAATCCGTAACACCAATTTTAAAGCCTTCTTTCTTGTCCATAATAATTGTTTTATTTTAAGATATGAAGACCAAGATGGTGTGGCCTTTTGTGTGGTCGCAGTCTCCTTTCGTTGTATTGAGGTCGTTTGACCTTGTTTTTGCAACTTGGTCATATTGGTAGTAAGACTTAAAGGAACGAACCTAGCACGGAGTTCATTGTATGAATGATAATTTTCAAAGTCTGACCGTGGACGTGGTACATTCCCAGACGTTTCGCCAGAATCGTAGTCGGCATCGTCACTGAGTCTTGCCATTCTTAGCACCATACTACAACTCGTCAAAGAGACAAGTGAAGCCGATCCTTTGGCCAAACGTGTGCTAAACAGTTGTGGTATTTCTCCTTCTGCCTTGGGCTATTCGCAGTCGATATCCTTAGTGAGTCTCGCCATTCGTAGCACCATATTACAACTCGTCAAAGAGACAAGTCTCTTGTCTTTTAGGAAAGCTAAATTCTAAGCAGTTTAATAGCATCTCTTCAGTAAAAATAATAACACACTAAGGTTTTAGACAGATTTACCACCCTGGCTTTCCCTTCGTCATAATAAATCATCTAATGATTCTACGAAACCCAGTTTTTCTTCCCTTTGTCCTGTATGTTAAACGCACACATTTTCACGTGCTCCTTTACATGTGTTCCACAATCTTGTGCATCGCTTCTTCCCTCTGCTGCATTTTCGATTGTGTGACTCGTCCGGGCCTCCATGTAAAGAGGGTAGTGCTCAGTAAATTTCAACGCCCAAGGCGGTCTCGTTCGTATCCTCGATATTATACTTGCTCTGTATAAACAATGCAAATGTTGCCTTGTCGACTTCAAATCAATATAACTTATCTGTTTTGAGCTTCCAAATTAGCTACGCTCTTCTAGAAATGCTTTGGAGACTTTCATTTAATACGAAATTCCACGAAAAAGGTATTCATAGTTTGATCTCATCATGAGGCTTCGGCTGATTCCCATTTTTATGAAGCTGTTTGGCTTCTATATATACTTAAGGTTGACGTAGTCCTAGGCATACTTTTGACTGTCTTTTTTTGTTTATAGGCTTAACATTGCTGTTTTACGGGCTTGAATTTAGTTAGAACCATCACTGCTGATAAATTGTGTGTGCTTCTTTTGGACAGCCGAACAATCTTGCAATAAAGCATAATTAATTCTTACTAAACTTAATATCACCATTACTCATATTAAACACATTCACAAATATACTTATTTTAGTGACCTCTTGTGTTTTGTTGGAGACGTATCTTAATAAGCAAATCTTTGCTTCATATCAAATCTTCCCGTATTTTTTCTCTACTTTTGACCGTTCGACCCATTAGACTGTAGAGCGTTTTTGTGCTTCGCTAATTTTCGGCGGATAGGCCTGCATATCTTACCAGCATTACTTCTCAGCCGCTGAGATTTTCTGATTATGGTCCGTATTTAGGAGGTGCATTCTGCCTAATCTTTTTAAATGTCTTTTTTCTTATTTATGCATCTTATTTCTTAAAACAATTATCCTGTTCATCTCTATTTTACTATGCCGCTTAACTGCCTAAATTTGCTAGCTCATTTTACGAACCATCAAAGACTTCGTTTTTTAAGGATGAAATTAATGCTTCACCTTTTTGGCTACATTTTATATCTAAAAAGCTTTTAATGCTACTCTTCAGTGCAGTGTTAGTTGCAAAATTCGGCTTATCCATACTCATTATCCCTTTTAGAAGCTTTCTGCAAACCATATCTTAGAGAAAGGCTTCCTACCCCATTGATTCGCACATTTTAACAAATTCTTACGCTGTCTGCATTTGTATATTTTTCATTCTTTTGAGATTACGCATTTTTCAATTTTGTTAAGATTTTCTTGGGTAAATCCTTTCCAAGACTATGCCACTGCAATTGAAG